GTTTATTGAGGAAGATCACAAGTGAGAAGCAGTGTGTGCAAGTGAAAATGACAGTCCCATGAATCAGAGAGGGGTTTGGGTTGTTTTATAATAAGCTAGTGGTAGAAAAAAGGAATTCTCCCAAGCAGTTTGATTTACTCTGTTTCAATGAGATTAAGCTATTAAATGACAATACAGGTTTGCAGCTTTCTAAAAATATATTATTTGTTTCTTATAAATACTACAGAGGTCCTTCCTTTTGCTAGAATCTCTAAAGGAACCAAATATGTGTTTTACTAGAGTAATGTCACCAGTTAGCCTATCTTCTAAGTTAGGGGGTGAGAGAGGAAGAAATTTGGTAGTAACCTTGTATTAGGCCCTAATCCTGCAACACAGATTCTGTTGCATTTTTGATGCAGACTCTTCATATACTCAAGCTGGAGAAAAGTTTGTGCACCTTGTGATAGGTTACATCCAAATTTCAAGCACTAGTAATCAGATAAAGAGAACACAGGAAAAAAACTCTGCAGATTCCTTGCAATGTTTACCTGAAACAACTTTTTTCCTTCTCAAGTCATCTCCTTATAAAAATAACAATTACAAAAACATTCCTTCCACATAATTTACTTTATGGATAAACTGGCAGCTGACTAAGTGAAGGACAAAACATGCCTGTTCTCAGAAGTAATCAGAAACCAGCAGGTCAATAATGGAACATTTAGCAACTATCACTCTGGGGCCTTGACACATACCAGATGAAATAATTTTATTTGCCTCAGTCATTTGCTGTAGAAGAATTAGTGTCATTGTGATCCATCATCAAAGGAATCGTTGTCTCCTGCTTTCTGTTCCATAACTGTTTTTCATAAATATTTTGAATTTATATCCTACTCCTAAGTTAATTTAAGACGTTGGCAGGTTGAAATAATTCTCTTCCTCCTTGCAGAGTAAAACATGCCATTTTTAGTGTTTATTTTGCTTTATATACTTATAATTGTGAAACTAACAATTGGCCATAAATTATGCATAAAAAAAGATGTATCCAGCTGTTTTTAAATTTCTGCCCCAGAATTGAAGTATTGTTAACAACACTGAAGCTGTTCAGATCAGACAGCAAAACTATTTGAATTATCTCTGGTAAACAACTGAACTGCACCTTCAATCTCAGAAGAGTTTGCTTAAATTCTGTTTGTATTTTTCCTAACCTATTTGTACTCCAACTTGATAGCTAAACTTCATTAGGCTCACTGTCAGTGTACTTTGATCATATGAATTTTTTGTACCATGGTTTAATCACCATACATTTCTGATTTGATTATTTGTTTGCTTGAGGCTCCTCTCTTCTTGTCCAGAATCTCAACTGTCACTTGAACAGGTCAAATGGATATTTGCTCTGTGCTGCTTATTGTCTAACAATATCCCAATGCAGGTAAAGAAACTTAGTTCTGTGCAATCCTTTTTTGTTTGGTTTGCAGTAAAGACAGGTTTGCTCTCTAGTTAATTATTTCTAACCTAGCTGGACAACCTCAGAAAGAAAATAAGAAAGCCTCCTGAAAGTTCATTCTTGTCCACATATCTAAGAATAGCATAAATATTTTACACTAAAGATACATATTTGCAAATACTGTTACAAGCTGGCACATAAGGGTTTGTGGAGAGCTGCAAGGCATCTTTCCTCCATCCTCCAAGCGAAAAAGGCTTCAGCCTGTCACTAGCAAAGGAATTCTTTCTAAAAGCCAGCAGCTAGCAACACCCATTCCCCAATAGCATGTGTAGCTTGACAGGAGGCACTCACCAGTACCCAGGTCCTGTAATCAGTCATAGAGCGGAAACCCTAGGAGTTACTTCAATAGGGCTCCCTTTCAGCTGTCTCCCAAATACAGCATCCCAAATTTATGAGCTTAACATCAACCTAATCATAATATTAAATGAACTTATGAATAAAAATTAAACATTTATTTTAGCACGATATCTTGTCAGGTTTCTAATTACAAGATCAAAACCAAAGCAACTCCTGTTCTAAGTTTAAGAGACTTTCTCACATACAGTTCTTAAGTAATGCCCCAGCCACTAAAACAAGGGTTTGAACTTTATAGAGTATCTTATTCTCTAAATAGTACCCCCAAATCTGGATGACTTCCTTTGGCTTCAGCTTCGAAAGTATTTTTTCTACTTCTTCCTCCCTCTCAATGTCAGCAGGAAGCTTGCAAAGATTAGCTCAAGCTTTGATACGGCATTTCTTGGGACATTACCCACGTCTCATCTTCCTGATAGGAAGTCTTTTGTATTGTAGTTTTAATGAGGCCCTCCTCCACAAACAGCATAGTGTAGATGTTAAAATGCTCTCCTGACATTACAATATTTCACATATTATACACTACAAAAGCATCACTTCTGCAATAGTTCTGTTAAGCTCATTATCTTAAGTGTGTCGTTTGCTTTACATATTATTAATATAGTTATCAAGACTTGGTAGTAGACCTGCTGTTTGCTGTCAAATTTAGGGGTTTGCTGTGTAACAAATACCCTTCCTTAAAGCAGATGCCATCATAACTGGACCCAGATTATAGAGTACTAACATCATGACACTCTAATTTCCATTCCTGTTTTCATGCATCCAATCACTCTTGGCTTTTTATACCACCATTGCAGAGAACAATATTCTAGAAATTATTTTCAATGCCTGCTAAGCTTTTTTTCTTAGAAGATGTCCTAATTTCAGGTCCTTAAGAAGGACATATTTATGAAATCCATAATACTACACAGGAAAACCAGACTGATGAAATTATTCTGCATTGAATCTCTGAAGGCTAGTGTATATGCCTGAATGTAAATTCTCAACAGCTTTCATATTTTACAACTGAAAAACCTTAAGACTATCAGCAAGATTCAGTCTGTTGTTCACGTCCTCTTCCAAATCACTAACATACACTGAAATAGCACTACTGAGCCTTTAACATCCTTGCTCTTTATTTAGAGTGGAACTTACGAGGTTAAGTAAGGCGTGAACAAACTACATAGCAGTATGTACTTGACTTCATAAGATTACTCTTTATTTATCCAATGATTGGCCTACCTTTAGAAACAGTTTTCCTTGAAATGAGGCTGAATTTAATTCTTAGGATGTCCCAGAGACCCTTTGGAGGAAATTTACCATTTTTAAGAACAGGGTTTCCAAGCTATCTTGCATATTTTGGGCAATGTCTATGGGTTTATTCTTTCTTTTAGAATTCTCTAATGAATATACAAGATCAAAATTTAGAGAAATATTCCAGACAGGGATAGGAATTATTCTCAGAGGTATATTTAACGTTTTTATTCTAGATTCAACAGTTTGAAGGAAAGGCACTTTCTCTATTTCCCTTGAATATAATATCATGGTCTATGAGCTCCACTAAAATATATTTTAGATTTTTGTCTGAAGTACAGTCTCCTTAATCTCATCCCAAAATTTCTAGTTCTGTTTCCTTGCACCATGGTGAGTAACTAGTCCCCAAATCCCATAGGCAGTTATACCGTCACTAAGTGACTGTTTTGCCTACCTTCTATGTTTGTAGACCAATTTATTTTTTCTTTACAAGTCTCTTCAACCCTGCAATCTTTTTTGCTGATGCTCTTGAACAACTCTGTAGCTGTATACCTTCTACAGACCTTCACCAAAATGTGTTCCAGGTGTTGTCTCATCAGATTAGATAAAGATCACCTCCTGATTCAAATTCTACGAGTACAGCGTTGCTGTTTGGTTTTAGATAATATACTGCATTTCAAATTCAGACATGTATTTCTGTCTGCTACCACCCCTTTAATCATTCCTACTTGTCTCTTTCGGTTAAAGAAAAAAAAAATTGCATTAAAAAATCCAAACTGATTTTCAGTTAAAGAAAAAATATACAACAGAGTGTAAGTAACAGACATTGATGCAACATAGCATGTCATCTTCCCAGCCTAAGATTAAACCTGTTATCGAAGGGTAAACCCTTAATTAATGTAAACTGTGATAGGCCCTACTGAAGCTATCTTCCTACAAAAATAGCGAAGAATCTGTCCCCTCATTACTACTGTCCATTATGGGACATTTGGGTTTCCTCTGACAATCAAATGATTTTTAAACATGAAATAAAGCAGAATATGTAATAAGTATCTTCAGTATATATTGAAAAGAACAGTTTGGTACTTTGGATTTTTAAACTTAGTTATCACACTTTCAACTCTAAGTCTCCAGCTTTCAGAGCCGAACCCTTAAAACCCTTTATTTCTTCTCTTTCACATTTATCACATTAAAATATTTTTCCCCTCTGTATGCTTTACTGGTTTTAAAAAAAACCCGCACAAACATTTTGAGCACTGCAGAGTTAAGAAAAACAAGTGGATTATGCTTTATCTGCAGTCAGAAGTTCAAACTAAATCAAGGCAGGAATTTCTCAAAGGCCCCTTCACCTGGAACATCCTCACCATCTCCTCCTCATCTTCCAAAGGCTGCTGAAAACTTACTGTATGTTATTGAGGCCAGCACATTTAAAACAATTTTTCTCATGATTTATATGCTATATTTTGCCTTAGCTCTGCTAGAGGGAATAGTTGATTTTTCTGGGCACTGTGCCCAGATTATGTTTAATTTTGTCTACAAATTGTACAGTTTCCCAGATACTATACCAGAGATGAGCATTTTATAAGTTAATAAAACAATAAATAAAATAAAATATGTTCTCATGTCTCCACGTAATAACTGGAACCTTAAAAGCCTTGCCCTGTTTTATAGAAGCTTCTCTTTGTTATAGTTAGTGACTAAAAATAGATGAAATTATTTTGAAGTGATAAAAAAATAAGGTAAATAATTTATAGGATCCCCACAGAAATACTTCAAATCTAACCTTAAATTTCTTAAACAAATAGCTAAAATAAAGTTCCGCTATTGAATGCATTATGTATTAGTTATATTAAGAAGGAATCAGTTTGGATTCCACTACCATATTTCACATAATTATTCTATCTTTAGAATAAAAAGAGGAAGAAAAACTTACTGTGTATTCTGATTTCCAATTGTCCATTTGTAAAAAAAAGAATGATGAGAGAAAAGAAAAAAAAGAAATGTGAAATAAAACAATGATGCAAGATCCTTACAGTAAACATACATTAATAATCAAAAAATTTGCTGATTTATATTTGACTGAAGTCTATGGGACAATAAAGGGTACATGTCAGCACAGAATCTAAGCACCTGATGTTTTCTTTGCAAGGAAGAAATTACATAGATACAACACTCCAGTTTTTACCTATACGTAGTCTATAATCTCTATTTCCTGATATCAGTCAACATAAGATGGAAAAATATATGCAGTTTAACAAGAGTTGTTAAAGAAACTTGGTATCTGTGGCTCAGTATTTAACTTGGAGCTTCTGAAGATAAGCTAACCTATCCAAAAAGTACACATGAATAATAATTTCTGCTTTATTCCTTACCTGTGATTGTATAAGGATAATAATTCCAAGCCTTCTCTGTAACATAAAATATTTTGGGAACAACTGCTCTAGCCCAGCTAGGCAGTTTGCTGAAAATAAAAAGAAAATATAAAATTAGAGTATGTTCTGACTCATAAGTATTGTAGAAAAGAAGATACTTCCAAATGTGCTCATAATTTGACATGTGTTTCACAGGATACAGCAATACCTATACTTCACATCTCAGCTCATGACTGTGCATTCTGTCTCAGCTTTCTCCACACGCATATATGAAACCAAGTCTGTTTGTTCCCCTCTCAAAGCGAGCAATATGGTGCCAGTGCAATAACTTCTGATCAGATTTAAATTGAGGTTGCAGATTTCAAGAATTTATGGCCTCAAACCTTTGGTCTTGGATGAACCCGGCAGGTTAGACCATACAAGGTGTAACTGTTGCACAGTATCCTTAACCACAGGGAGGCACTCTCTAACAAGAGGTCATGAGTAAATACGTGATTTCAGTCCACTTCGATCCCGATTCCATTATTTCTTCTTAGAGACTGTTTCTTCTTCCTCCGTGTTCTCTGCTGGCACACAAACCCTTACATTCAAGTCACCTAGTGCACAGTTTTTCCCACACTACCAACACCAACTCCTGAGTAGGAAGCTTTTATATTAAAATTAACAAATCACTCAAAACACTTCTGTGAGGCTGGTAGGTGGTATTAGTCCCATTTTGCTGATGGGAAAAGTAAATCACAAAAGTGAAGAGAATTAATGGAACCGATGTCATAGCTCAGACCTCAATCTGCCAAGAGAACTTACCAATGCGGTGGTACAACAGCAGTAGAATAAGAGATGAAAGATGTGGATACAGCACATGGAAAGATCATTAAAGGGTAATTAAATAATACTATGGAGGAGAAGGAGCATTTTCTTTACCATGGATTTTGCGTCTCTCATTTCCAGAGCTCTGGTCACCCAGGGTACCAAAGAAGTGATGAACAAACATACATTTTTAAAAAGAAGGCAAGGTCGTGAAAATTCATCTTTCAACCCTTTCTTAATGACATCAGTTGTAATCACTGAAGCTGCCAGTAACAAAGATGCAATACTAGTCACTCAAAGGAAGGCAGACCTTTGGAGACCACAAATATCACTCTACTTCAGAGACTCAGTTAAAATTGTGTTAGTCTGGCAATATGTTGAGCAGATCACCCAGCCTAAGACTGAATCTTTACTAAACTAAAGTAGATGCTTTCAAACATCAGTTTCCCAAGTGTAAATGTTTGAAACAGTTATGTTTAGATAACTGTGTGCAGAAAGTAAATTACCTTTCCATATTAGCAAATTTCTGAGGAAAATACAGTTTGGATCACTAAGGCTTATTTAACCATGATCTAGCTACACATAAACTTTGTATTTGTCCAGAGGCAAAATGCAGATGTTAGTACATTATCTAAAGATTCAAAGTCAAGTGCGTTGACTTTTGCTCTTTGATGACATTGCTCAAACCCAGATTCTTTTCTTTACATAAACCTTTTTGTGTACAGTCTTTTAAGCCACATTTTACATACTGCATAACAGACTTCACTGTATCAGATCTTTTGTCAGCCTCTGTCAGTGCCTTTTTATGACTATCTCTCTGCTCCCTCCCTTACCCCTGCTAAACTTTACTCTGATGCCTATTAAATGATAAATACCAGAGGATGAGATTTCAGCTTCTGAAAACAATGCTCCAGCAGGAGAGAAGAGGCAGTAAACAATTCTGAATGTAACTAAAGCTTACATTGATACTAGAAAATTTTACTAGTAATATCTTTGTTAACATACAACTGCTCATTTTGCACTTTTTGTTGTTGTTATTGTTGTTTTTAGGGTATTTGCCTGTCTACCTATCTTCGTTGGTACAGCACATCTCCAAAGCAAATAATTTTATGAGCAAAACATACTTTATACTCAGAGTTGCCAGCAAGTCACAGTCTTAGACACACATTAATTATTCCATGGGTCCACTCAGAGAAAGAAAGTACAGCATTTCTATTTTGGCAGCACAGGTGTCTGTGGATCACTTTTTTTTTTTAATTTCTTCCTTCCCCGGATGAAGTTCAGTCTTTCAGCACACAGGGAGGAAGTGTTTCTTAAAGGCAGTCCAGCTGAAACCATTGCTAAGCAAGAAGACCCTCTGCAAGAATTAAAGTATTAGCAGGCAAGAAAACATAAATGAAAATAATGCACAAATCTTTCCAAGAAACCATCACTGAAATATATAAACTCAAATTTCTTCAGGAGAAATCAGTCCAGAGCAAAATAAAGTGAAGCAAAGCTAGCAAGTTTATTAGGGTGGTGGACCCTGGAAGAAGAAAAGATGGGGGAAAAAACTGTACTGGTGTAAGGAGTCCTGTTCATCAAGGAAGGCAGGCAGAGAAGTTTTCAGATCATCTTGTATGGCAGCATGTCTCCTTGAACGAAGACTTCCGGAGAGATCCTGGACTCTCAGCAACATCCATAGTTGCCTGAAAACCTGCTGATCCTTTCCACAAAGCTTTAATAGTACTGAAATATCTGGTAGTATTGTGACACCAAAACCAGATTCAAATAGCAAATCTGATGATGATTATCAAGGAGTATTCATAATTATCATTAAACTCAATGTGCCTGACTTCAAACATCCACCAGTTTTACGTAAACTTCCCAAGTTGTAGGCACACAGATCTTCTTGGTCAATGTTCGTACCTGTCTTTGGGTAAGAGATCCTTTGTTCCATTGCCTGCACTACCAGAAGCTACATGCTTCCTAAGTATGTCTTGTACGTGCCTTCTAGGACACGGTCCTTGGTGATTATTCTGAATTACCCTAAAGTGGTAATTCTGAATATGCTCTTCAGTGCTTTAAGCCTTATCTCTTTTTAACATGAAGGAAAGAAATATCCAGAAACGTTAAAAACCCCACAACTTCTGGGAGCTCTACACATTTATTGATTTTTCCCAAGTCCTGTATCTAGCCTGCAAGAGAACAGAGTTACAATCATAATAATATTAAATGTTGGCAACATATATATTAGTGGACTCGCGTGTGTGTGGGCATGTGCAACATTACCGGTGATTCAATTTAGCCTGAGTTAAGGCTAGATATGTCAGGTTTGCAGCAGAGTAACTTGCAATGTAGAAGTAATAGCTATAGTGTTTCTGTTCCCACTATGAAATGCTGCAGAGCATAAGTTTAATAAAACGAAGCAGGCCCAGGGGAACAGAAGAGCTTCAGAAAAGCAGTAATACTCAATTAGATCAGCAGTAGTAAAAATGGGAACAGATTGAGCAATATATTTCATAGGACACAAACATATATATATATATATATAAAAAACCATCTCTGATCTGTAAGTTTTGGGGGTTTTTTGGAGGTGGGGTGTCTGTTGTTTCTGGTTGTTAGTTTTTGGCTTCCCTCCCCCAATTTTGGAAAACAAAATGACAAACAGTTAAGGGTAAAAGAAAAAAGTTCTGATTTTCAGTACATCCTTCACTTAAAGTTATAATTCTTTCTCTTGGAAAAGATATTCTAGAAGAAATGACAACTAATCTATTTCAAGCCACTGATCTATCCCACCCTCCGTCTTCCTGCGGCTACAAGGAAGCAACATGTATTCATGGGAACATATTCTACTTGAAACAGAAAGGCTATTGCCTAGAAGGGGTATTCCTTCAAAATTTTATTGCAGCCCATTCTGAGAGAAACAGTTTTATTGCACTTGCCTGTTGAGATAGACGCGTTTTTCTGTTAGCTGACCATTGCCATGGTTTGGATCTTCATAGGGTTCATTCTGCACCACTTCCACACCTTCACCTCGGTCACTTTGCTCATGGCTATGCTTGCTTATCATGTACAGCTGTCCAATTCTGTACTGCAAAGCAAAATCAAGAACAATGTATTAGCTTTATGTAATACACGTGTATGCAAAAGCCAATGTCATACAATGATACAGCAGTATGTGCAAATAAAAGGTAGTTCAAGGGCAAGAACAGTATTTTGCAGTTTCATTCAGTTCTATGAGTCAGGGTCCTCCTGCTATCTTATTAAGAACAGGGTGTCACTTGTAGAAAAAAATAACAAAACCCGTGTGAATACATTTGTAAAGAATCAGGTCAGTCCTTTACTTTTTTTACTATATTTGTAAATATATAAGTTAATAATAAATAAACAATTAATCTACTGCTTCCATGTGCTGGCATGCAAGGGGATTATAACCAGCAGGTGAACTCTAAAAGTTCTGTGGGAGACAGGATCCCCCTGTCATGCCAACATGTGCCAAATAACAAAGCCCTGCAAAAAGATTCAGGATAGCTACTGCTGATTTGCAGAAATAGGGGTACCAGCTCTTAAGAAAAAAAGCTATGTAGACTCTTAAGTCCTTCAGAAAAGAAGTTTGAGATGAGTAATTTGGCAATATTATTAAAATTAATTTAAGCACTTAATTTATCCTTTTTCTATAGGCTCTTGAGTTACTTAGGAAGTCAAAACCCAGGAGGGTTGATCCAACACTGCTATCACAGAAAAATAAATTGTTGTACTGGCAATTGATTTTTTTTCCCCTGTATGTCTGCATCTACACCAGGGCTTTTGCCTCCAGAGAAATATAACAAAAAGTATATCCATGAACCTTCCTAGCAAAGATTTTAGAGTAAAATTGTACTTTTCCATGCATTTTCTGGTCTGAGATTTTATTCTCATTTAAGTCCTTTCCACATTCTTAAACGTACTACGGTTCTTACAACAAACTGTCTTTGGACCTATCCAGTTTTCTCCATTTGGATCCCTCTCTCCCCGGGAGTATATTTAGGCATATACATGCTAATCACTTCAATCACATCAATCACTTCAAATACAAAGAACAACCTGTTAATTTAGAGAATGGCTGAGCCACTACTACACAAGCTGCCAAGTACTAGCTCAGCATACGCAAACAAAAGCATAGTGACAGTCTAACCTCAGAAAACTCTACGAGATTCTTGTGGTTATTACATATTATAAACAGCAATTCTATCACATACTTTTAAAAGCCCCAAAAGCCCAAATCAAAAGAGCAATTAGCTGGGGAAAAAAAACCCCAAACCATCACAAACCTTATTAACAGCTACCAACAAGAGAGTCTTACTAAACAAAATGATAAGGAATAGGATCATGGAGGGCTCCCTACAGAAGTTCTTATATTCCACATAACCCCTTTTCATTGCCCTGCAGCAGGCAGGCCACAGGGTGAGAAATTTAGAACTTGCATCTTGCAGGATCATTTGCTTAGAGGACAGGGATTTCCCTTCTCCTAGCACTGAATGGACACCTCCTCCTTCCTTGCCAGCCACACACTACAACAGCGAAATCAAATGATTTGCATCAAAAAAGTGCCTTTCAGCTGATAATTTGAAAGTACTAAAAACACCTCAAGTTTATAAAAAGGTTCTTTAGGGGCAAAAGGGTGCTCCAGGGGAAGGATGATGTACCTTGGATCTATTTTCTTTTCCTCTATCTAATTAGGTCATTTCAGTGGATTTTTTTTTTCCCCATTACTTTTCTTCAAACATCTCCTCACAGTGAAGAACATAACCCACTCTTAAAACTTTTTGGAACTAGTAAAAAAGAGGACTAGGGGAAAAAAAAACCCCAAACCCAAAACCAAACAGTTATTTAGTTATCATAAAACCAGCAAATATCTTGTGAGTCAGGTCAATTAATTGTGTGACCTTTGTAACATTTGAAAAATATTAAATCTCTACATAAGTGCCAGCTATGCAAATTAGAACTGCCTGGAAATTTCAGCATTACGCACATATTTCTTCCTCTCCTTTCTACTCATAACTAAGAGAGGATTGATGGCTTTTTTTTTTTTTTCTTAATTAGAAAGATCATTTTTTCCTCTTTATATCCTATATAACTTCGGAGAATCTGCTCTCTCACTACCTAGAAATATTCCTAAGACATTCACTAAAATGATGAGTAGAATAATGCTATGTAAACAATCTGATGCTGGCACTATCTCCAGACTATGTATTCAGCTTTCTCATCTCTGGTACCTCTTTCACACAAAATGTCCCTGTTTAAGAGATAAGTCCTAAAATTATTTTTCTTGCTAATCATCTACCTTAGTCTCTACTGAATCCTGTTTTTCTCTGTCTCACCATGTTTGAACATTTTGTCCTAATCTTCAAGGCTCTGAAGGGCTGCAGTGCTCACACATACCTTTTAACTAGTTCAATGAACAATTGTCTTCTCTTTTTCACTAACAATAAATGAAAGCAATGGTACACAAGCAAGGTAAAGTTTGTGGACAGAGGTAGTATATTTTATTTGATCAGCTAGTACAGTTGGAAAAAGGAGAACTTTCAGGCACATGAAGCTGTTCTTTAGGTCTGAAATCAAAGCAACATACTTCAAAGCTGAATGCAAGTTGTGAAAAAATGCTTTGCTTTTAATTAGATATGTATCAATTAGACCACCTGAGAGTAAAGATGCTTACTGCCTGTGGAGTGATAAGAATGTTAGAAAGGAGGAAAGGTGATAAGGTGCTTATCTTCTAATGGAAAGAAAGAGATCAGTAATTTATAGCCTGTGGAACATGAAAAGGTTAGGCGAGCAGAGACAATTTGCCATAAAGCCAATATTTCTATTGAGATGTCTATTGAGATTTTTGTTATCCCATAAAGTTATGGCTTTTAGTTGCCATTGACATATCTGAAAAGTGTTTCATAATTGCACATATGACTGCATGCTTTGATTTCCTACTTTCATGTACTCCGTTGCAATTTTGCTCTCAGTTTTAATGGTCAAATACAGACGTCTCAGTTTCTGCTGGAAATATTGGCTCAGAAACATCAAAATGAATGTATGTTCACACTGACAACTAACAATGGGGTTGTACTAAAGCATTCATTTGCTCCAGCATCATGAATCAGAGATATCCACCTATATCAACACCACATGTTTTTTTAACAGAGACTTGTTCTTTCATGGACCCATACTACCATAAAACACTAACAAAATATCACATCACAAAGACTGTAAATCAATCTGAGTACACGGTTAAGAGTGGCTAAGCTGCATACCCGTTGCACTCTTCAGATGATGATCGGTGTTGTCAAGCAGAAATTGCTTTATAGATGTTGCACAGTTAGTGCTTCAAGAAAGGTTCTACATCTCCAATGAGACTCAAAATCACCCACACTCCAATTATACCTAAGATCTCACAGAAGGTATCCAAGGCAGCTCAGTGTGGTGCTTCTCACTTGGGAGATGCTGAAGAAAATAGAAGGCACCATAATTGGTGCTGGACAGCTCTTCTGTAGGAATCCTACTGCTATGATGTAGCAGATGATGACTTTCCATACCTATGGATCTGACACCAGTCAACTGGAAATATCCACCTTTCATAACTGTCAAAATGACTGTGCAGTCCTGCTAGAAAGCAGCTGTATTCTGCAAAAGAAACATACTTTCACATATACTTTAAAGAAGCTAACTTAGCTCCTTTGTGTACTATTCATTTGTTTTTATCTAGTTTATAAAATTTTAGTACCATTCTAGAGCAGGATGAAAAAAGAGTTAACTTCCAGAATTACAGCACTTTACTAAACCAGAGAGTACACATCTCTTAATTCAGATAAAATAACTTTTTTAAAAGTGTATGTTTATATTTAGAATCATAGAATGGTTTGTGTTAGAAGGGACCTTAAAGATCATCTAGTTCCAATGCTCCTGCCATGGGCAGGGACACCTTCCACTAGACCAGGTTGCTCAAAGCCCCGTCCAACCTGGCCTTGAACACTTCCAGGGATAGGGCTTCCATAACATTTACATGAATAAAATTTACATTAATAAAATCCAAAGCAAATATGTGTCTTTTAGAACTTGCTGAAATTTAAATGCCTGGAAAAAAAGTCACAGCTTTTTCTAAGTTCCTATCAATATTGTGGAGAAGGATCACTTAAGAAACATTTTACTATTTATGGAATATTCATTACTCCTGCAAGGGTAAACTGATGAGCCACTATTATTTATGTTGCTCTATCACAATCTGAATTTCCGTGTTCTAAGCTGTAAAACAATTTTCCGAGACTTTATACTGTTTCAAGGAAGACAGTCAGTAAAATTTCATGCAGTGGCACCTGATCTGAATTTGGTTCTGGAGAAAAGCTCTTTCTTTGAAAACTCTTCAGTTTAATTGGGGAAAATTTCTTTAATATCAAAGGAAAAGCTTCAATAAACAAATGCACTGAATGTGGAGTTAGAGATTTCTAAGGATATTGCTACGTAGCTTTTGTAGTAGACTTGATGTTTCTCAACTCCTAATGAGTTAGACATTGTCTCAGTGGTGACTTCTCTTTTCCTTCAACAGGCAGATGGTGTTTGCCTATTGGGAGTTTAGTCATACAAGAAGCAAGGTTTATGTTAGCAACAGCATAATGACGGTCAATCTGATTTTGTTTAAAGTTGTAAGTGAGACCAGAATCACTTTTTTGGTGTTTTTGAGATAGAAGGAAAAGAAAAGAAAAGGGGGTGGGGGAAGAAAAAAAAAAAAAAAAAAAAAAAAGAGGTCCACCCTTACACATCTTTCATTTGTAGAACTCCCATTGTCTTCAGCAGAAGCTCCTTCTTGTACAAACAGGTCTGAATTTTTTTCAGCTTGACTGACTATTCCTCAGTGTTTGATCAAATACTAGTCTTAGAGCACAACCTCTCAAACTTCATGTGAAATGTAAAAAGTAACATTCTCTCAAAGGAGAAATTATGCCAAAGCTGTCCATAATCTGAAATTTTTATACCATTCCTTGAAGTTCTTATCTGAACGCTCACAGAAGATGTAACAGATTTATCACTGGCTTCATCTTATATGGCAATTCTCATATTCAAAAG